TTCTTGTTTAATTAAATAATATTTTCTATTTTTTTTTCCGTAAGTGCACACCAACTTATACAAAAAAGACTTCCTTTTTGTTCGAAAAGTATTATAATAAATAAATGCTTCTTATTTCTGAAAAGACAAGACTGATTTTGGCAAATGACACACTCTCTAAGAAAAAAAAAGGGTGGGTGGGCGGGGCTACTACCTGCTACGATAATTAAGATAATCTCCGACACTACCGAAAATATAATTGAAAAATAACAGTTTTTGTCCTTCGAACACTTCGCAAATTAGCCATTTTTTTTAAATTTAGATTTGTAGAAGTTATTTTCGGTTCCATTTCTTCGAAAATTCCAACAATTTTACCAGAATTGATCAAATGAAAAAATGTCAATTTTCGAGACAAAAAACTCAGTATCGAACAAAATTTTTCGAAAATTTTAGTCCGGGGGCATTAATACTTTCTGTTTTGTAAATAATAAAAATTTTTGGGTATTTTTAACCAACTTTTCAAAAATCTGAAATTTTCAGTACCGTGATAAAATTAAAAATGACAATTTTCAAGATGTATATTTGAAAAATTTCATTTCAAACTGAATTTTCCGAAAATTTTGGTCCGCGACCATTAACACTTTATGTTTTTGAAACATTTCAAATTTTGCCGTAATAACCACGTATATCAAAAGTTATTAAAATATGCTTACTATTACTGGGTGTTCTGATTTCCATGTCACTGGGTATATTCAATATTCTTTAGATTCTTTAGCACACCCTATATGTTTGTACTTATTGACATTAACTCTTCCTAGGATTTATAGTCATGGTTTATTTTTGAAATTCCAATGTTACCATGTTATTTCAATGTTCATGCATTTTTTTAACAATAGTAAATAGAAAGTTTATAAGAAATTCTCAAACTTTACAGTTTTTAAATAACGATGTTTCAATTTATTAAATACATAGAACACCCTGTATTTTATTACTACATTTTACTTCATTTTTTGTTCTTTTCTCAATATGTCGGTGTATCTCTCAAAAACTAAAAAATCGGAATAACTGTCAATATAGAACATTTTTCTAAACGCTCTATATATTAAGAATAATTCTTATTTATACTACAATAAAGCGAATATTTTTATTTATCTTTCTATAGAATATTGTAACAAACATTTTAAAAGCTCACCTTATTGCGACTTTTTTGTGAATCCATCCATTGCTAAAAAATTTCAAAAAATTGATGTTGAAAACATATATTTTCCACATGAAAAACCTACGTTACGCCTTAAAAACAGAACACTTTGCATAGTTGAAAACACGATCAAAAACAGCTAGCGGTTTTTTATAGAATTTTCGTCTTGTCAAATTACCATTGATTGGGAAAAACAAGTAGAGATTCACTACAAAATATAAATCAAGGTGGCTTCGAAATTTCGTAAATTTTGCCGCTTCGTTGTGATGATGGACGATTACTCGTAGCCCGCTATAAATTTCAATCCTGGCTCTACTTTTTTTTACACTTCCACTGTATTTGTTGCCTGATAGGTCGGCAACCAATAATTCACATCGGAGGACAAAACTAACTTTTATATTTATAAGCAACTTGTATAATGTTGAGGATTCCTTGCGTTCTGTGTTAGCAGACTAAATTTATTTCAGTTCGAGAAACAATATTTTCCAAAGTTTCGTAAACTTCTCTAAGAACTTGTTTCCATTATCTTTTCCAGGGAAAAAAGTCTTTTGCATGACAGTTGAATAAAGCATATGTAGATTTAGTATTTACCTACATTCTTATGCAACTATTTAACTTATCATACGATGCACTATTTCTACGTACATATCGAGCGTTCATTCAGTTGAAAAAGTCATCAAGTTGGCCTTGGTTTTTTGTAAACGGTGCGAAGTATGTCTGCTGCAAACTTAAAGTTTAATTGATGACAGCTGACAGCGTGAATTTGTACAATTTAACCTCACTTTACGTATAATAAAATTAACGCTTCTCAACAACTCTGTCAAAGAGAGCCAGTATGAATCAATAAAACACGTGCGTTTTTCTCTACGTCTTCTTCTGTGAAAAAAGGCGCCAACTTGAAATATTAATTGGTCCATATACCTTTAACTACTCTGAAAATTGTTTTTATAGATATACTGGATGACTTCAAGATTTAATAGATTAATCGGTATTTCAGACTGCTATAGGCAGTTAAAACATGATTTTTCGGTAAAATTCAATTTAAATAGGTCTATTACAACATATACAGGGTGAGCCACTAAAAGATAGAAGAAAATCAGACACTGAACAACTATCGATTTGAAATTTAAAAAAACTTGATAATAAAGAAGAGAACAAAAAACAGAATAATAGAGGAAAGGTGCCTAAAATGATCCCCCTAAGGGAGAAATTCTTTAAAAAATAAAAATTATGATTATTCATGTAAAACTGTAGCATTATTTGTAAGAACGTTGATTTATCTAGGTAACAGTATAAGCCAATTGGTGATTCGATAATTATAAAAAAAGTTATTAACGTTTTTCCAGGACCTTACAAAAGGATCATTTTAGGCATCCCCATAGGTAAAATGATCCCTCGGCATGGACATAATGATCCCTTTGAATTTTGACCATAAGGGGACAGCATCAACAAGAAAAATCAAATCATGACATAACTGATAAATATTTTATTTCAAAAATTAACAAAAAAATGAATTCTTAAAAAAAATAAACAAAAAAAATTTGCAAAGCACCGAAAATACGGAGTGTATAATTTCTGGAAGAGTTTGAGACAATACTTTAGTCATCAGTACGTGCTAAGATAAGACTAATTTTGCCAAATGGGATACCCTCCAAGAAAAGAGAGAGCTGGTGGGCGGGCCTACTACCTGCTAAGATAAAACTGAATTTGGCAAATGATATACCCTCTAAGAAAAGAAAGGGTGGGTGGGTGGGGCTAGTAACTGCTAGGATAAGACTGAACTTGGCAAATGATATACCCTCTAAGCAAAGAGAGGGTGGGTGGGTGGGGCTAGTAACTGCTAAGATAAAACTGAATTTGGCAAATGACATACACTCTAAGAAAAAAGAGGGTGGGTGGGTGGGTGGGGTTAGTAAGTGCTAAGATATAAGACTGAATTTGGCAAATGATATAGCCTTTAAGAAAAGAGAGGGCGGGTGGGCGGGTCTACTAACTGCTAAGATAAAACTGTATTTGGCAAATGATATACCCTGTAAGAAAAGAGAGGGTGGGTGGGTGGGTGGGGCTAATACTTGCTAATATAAAACTGATTTTGGCAAATGAGATACCCTTTAAGAAAAGTGACGGCGGGTGACTGGGATTAGTACCTCTTAAGACTGAGAATTTCCCAAAAATAGAACACGAAAATCCCTAAAATTCTTTTAAATTATTTAAATTTCCCCGTCTTAAGAGGTACTAGCTCCACCCACCCTCCCTCTCCTCTCTTGGAGGGTATTTCATTTGCGAAAATCAGTTTTATTTTAGCAGGTAGTAGGTGGGTGGGGCTAGTAATTGCTAAGATAAAACTGGTATTGGCAAATGCTATTCCATCCAAGAAACTAAAGGGTGGGTGGGCGGGGTTAGAGGATATGTCATCTGCAAAAATCAGTCTTATCTTAGCAGGTAGTAGCCCCGCCCACCCACCCTCTCTTTTCTTGGAGGATATGTCATTTGCGAAAATCAGTCTTATCTTATTAGGTACTAGCCCTCTAACAAGATAACGGGCGGATGGGCCGAGGTAGTGCTTGGCAAGATAAGGTTGATATTGGCAAATAACATACATTCTAAGAAAATAATGGGCGGGTGGGTGGGGTTAGTACTTACTAAGATAAAACTGATATTGGCAAATGGTATTCCCTCAAAGAAAATAAAGAGTAGGTGGGCGGGGTTAGAGGATATGTTATCTGCAAAAATCAGTCTTATCTTAGCAGGTACTAGCCCCGCCCAATGATCCGGGATCATTTTGCCTCAAGAAAAAGGGATCATTTCGCCTTAGGTAGCATATCCGCATTCAAAAATTGTAAACTAACCTTCAATTTTTACATGCGGTAAAAAGATCATAACTAACCTACGACTGAAATGTATCTAATTCTGTCAAAACAACTACCACCGCTATAAGACCTTTCAAATGGAAGTAATGGACTTTTAAAATACATCTTACCTTAGATCAGAGGTGCTTATTTTACATATTTTGGCACAAAACTGTGCAGAATACACAGAACGCCATCAAACTTTCAGAAGCTACTAATTACAGAGCGCTTAATCAAATGACAGTTATGTTTGGTAGATGGAGCCACACATTTTCTTACAATTGATGGGAATCATTTGACCTGAGGGGATCATTTTAGGCACTTTTCCCCTACATATTATTAAAATACAGGGTGTACTACTGGAAAAACTAAAATATCGTTCTTATAAACAGTCTGTATATTAAGTTTAAATTTTATTTATACCACTACAAATCCGGGCCCAAAAAATTGAAACACCTGGCAACGTCGCATTGGAATTTCAAAAATAAACTGTATTGATACGGTCTAACAAAATGTCAACTAATTATCATGGTTTTATTGCTCTCTCGGTATAAAGTGCATTAGTTGGTTTTGGGACGTTGTCAGCAATGAAACCCAAAATTTTGTTAACAAATTCTCCCATTTAAAAAAAAAAGTAAACTAGAAGTACAGTTTCAAAATTTTTAAAATGTCGTAGATCAAAGTGACTTGGAAATTTTGTAAATTTTGCCGCTTCGTTGTAATGATTAGGTACTCGTAATTCTTATTAAAATCTAATCGCAGATTTTCCAAAATTAATTTTTATGCTTAATCAACTTGTATATTCTTTGCAATTTTATAACTTAACCTCACTTTTCGTACAAGTAAAGTTTTTCAACAACTCTGCCTAAGACAGTTTTCAAAACTGACAAGTCAAAAATTATAATTCAAGGATCAACCACACCCCCACCCCCACAGCCCCCACGTGTCCCAAACCTCAACGCCCCAGTTTCCAGCCATGGTTTCCTACAACGTCGTGGTCGGCGACACCGTAACCAAAGTAATAATCCGGCTCACCGGAATCTCGCAAGACTCCGTCTTCGCCAAACGCCACATCATCGTCCTCATCGCCACCCTGCTCATCACAGTCCCCCTGTGTCTCTACCGAAAAATCGCCAAACTGGCGAAAATCTCCTTCATCAGCCTCGTCTGCATCGGCTTCATCCTCTTCTCGATCTTCGTGCGGATGGGCACCATGAGCGATATCGTGTAAGTCCAGCCCTGGCGCCAAAATTTTCGCCCCGATGACTCCCGTTGCTTGCAGGCCGCCGCACCCCAACGCCTGGACCGTCTTCAACAAGGACATCATCCCGGCCATCGGCATCATGGCCTTCGGTGAGTCTCTTTTACGTGAAATTGCTGTATAGTGGTGAGATTTTGCAGCGTTCATGTGCCACCACAACACCTTCCTCATCTACGGGTCCATCGAAGACGCCAACGAGCGGCGCTGGGAGGTGGTGACCCACGCCTCCATCTTGACTAGTCTGGTGGTGGCGCTGCTGTTCGGGATCGCCGGGTACGCCACCTTCACGGCGTACTCTCAAGGTTAGTGCAATCTCCCTCGTATTGCGAAAGATCGTTCAAATTTGCTCGAGGTTCGTCAACAACGGGTAAATGAGTTTGCAGAGATTGCGTTTTTGATGAATACATTTGAGCGGAGGTGATGAAGTGGTGTTGACGTCCATGATGATGGATGGGGTGCGGAGTGTGAGGGTTGGGGGAAATTAATGGTCCCGGGGTGTTTTCAATTTTTATTTTATTTTTTGAAAAATGAAGCTTGTAGTGTTGATGATTGATAACGTGTGTCGAGATTGGGTGGAAGAAAAATTGGAGCGGATTTTATGGATAACATGGTGAGGAGGGGGCAGGTATTATGAGATTAGCGCTTTTGTTGCTTACAATTTTATCGATCCGTATAATCTAAGCAAAAGAAAACTACAGATCCTTGGTTGAAGCTTGGCGGTTGGCAAACACTGAACATGGACGTATTCGTGCTACTTTGTTATGACTTTCATTCAAATGCGTAAGGATTGTGACTGAATTATCAGTAAACTATAAAGATTTATTATTATACAAAACATGAGGTTACAACTGTCAAATCTGAAGAAAAATTAGGAGATGAAGGAAGAAAAACGCATCTCCTTGAGTGAGTGGTAAAGATCTAATTCACGTAATTTGCTGTTGGAGCTTCTAGCTATTTGGTTTTTCGATTTCTGAATTTCTGGATTTTTGATTTTTGATTTTTCGAATTTTTGATGTCTTAATTTTTTCGTTTTTGGATTTTTCAAATTTTTACTTTTACGTTTACTATGTGTATTAAAATTTTATTTAATTGAGAACATTACAAAGCGTCTACCTATGATTGTTTTCTCTACACAAAATATTGCAACAGAAATCTTAGATTTTTTTTATTTTTATTTTTTTTGATTTTTTAGATTAAGATTTTCTTATTTAGCATTTACTCAATTATCTGATTTTTCAGTTTTTAGATTTTTTATTTATCGATTTACCAATTTTTCGATTTCTCAGTTTGTCGACTTTCGGATATTTCAATTTTTAGATTTTTGGATTTCTCAATTTTTGATTTTTCAAATTTTTGGATTTGTCGATTTTTAGATAGTCCAGTTTCTCGATTTATCGATTTTTCAGTTTTTAGAATTTTCGATTTCTCGATTTCTTGACTATTTGATATTTCGATTTTTCGTGTTATTAGATTTTCATTTAATGAATGGTTCGGTTTTTCGATTCTTCAATTTTTCGATTTTTCTTTTTTCGATTTTTTTATTTTCCGAATTTTCGAATGTTTGATTTTCCGAATTTTCGATTTTTCCATTAATCGATATTTCGATTTTTCGAATTCTCAAATTTTCGTTTTCTTGATTGTTCGATTTTTAGATTTTTTAGTTTTTACTTCGATATTTCGCGCTTTCGATTTTTCAATATTTTGATTTTTTGATTCCTGTTTCCATTTTTCGTTCTTCCAGTTTTTTTTATTTTTCTCATCTTTAGATTTGTCGAATTTTCGATTTTTCCATTTATCTATCTTTCGATATGTGAATTTTTCCAATTTCCTATTTTTTCTTTTTTTTGAATTGTCGATCTTTTCATTTTTCGATTTTTAGAATTTTCGGTTGCTTGATTTTCAGATTTTTCGACGTTTCGACTATTTGATGTTTTGATTTTTCGATTTCTCTATCGCTTTCGATTTTTTGTTTTTTGCCATCTTTAGATTTTTCCTTTTCTCGATTTTTATATCTTTTCAGTTTTTACTTCAATATTTCGAGCTTTCGATTTTTTTATTTTTCTCATCTTTAGATTTTTCGAATATTTTATTTTTCGACTTCTCGACATTTCGATATTTCAATCTTTGGAATTCTCAATTTTTTCTTTTTTGATTGATTTTTCGGTTTTTGTATTTTTCAATTTCTCGATTAATCAATTTTTTCATTTTTGGATTTTCAATTTCTGCATTTTTCAATAATGTTACGACTTTTCGGTTTTTCTAATTTCCCCTATTAGTTTTTATTTTCGTTTTTAGAATTATCCATTTCTCATTTTTTTGATATCTGGATATTTACTGTAATTGGGTGTATTACCTCTTGGGAATAAATATATTATTATTATTATTTCGATTTTTCGTTCTCTGGATTTCCTATTTTTCGTTTTTTCAGTTTTTAGATTTCTCAATTTTTCAAGTTTTGAGTTTTCGATTTCTCGAGTTCTCCATTTACCGATCTTTCGACTTTTTGATTTTTCTATTTTACGATCGCTCAAAATCTCGACTTTTTCAGATTTTAAATTTGGAGATTCCACGATTTTTTTTTTGGAGTTTTGACATTCTTTACTTTTAGATTTTTTCTATTTTTACTTTTCATTATATCCAGTTCTATTTTTCAATGTTTCGATTCTTCGATTTTTGCATTTTTCGATTTTTGGATTTTTCGATTTCTCGATTATTCAGTTTCTCATTGCTCGATTTCCCGCTTTTTCAACTATTCATTTTCTGCCATTTTTCAAAAATTTTTCGATTTTTTGCTTGGGAATTTCCACTTTCGATCTTTCGATTTTTTTTTCGTTTATCGAATTTTAGACTTTTCAATTTTTCGATTTTTGAATTTCTCGACATCACATTTTGTCGACTTTTCCATTTTCAGTTTTTCGATTTTTCCAATTTCCCGATTTTTAAACTTATCTATTTCTGGATTTCTCGATGTTTTGAAAAATGGAGAAATTGAATTTCTCAATTTTTCTTTTTTTCAGTATTAAGTTGTTTCTCAATTTTTCGACTTTTTGATGTTGATTTTTGAATTTTTCCAATTTTTTGATTTTTTGAGTTTTTGATTGTTCGAATTTTCAATTTTTTGTTCCGTTCTTCAATTGCTCCATTTTGTGTTTTTGTTTATGATTTTCAATTCCTCATTTTTTCAAGTTCTCGTTTGCCAATTTTTTGTTTTTTGGATTTTTCGAATTCTCAATTTTTCGTTTTTCTGGTTATTCGATTTTTTCATTTTTTCGATTTTCAGTTTTTTTCAGTTTTTACATCGATATTTCTAGCTTTCGATTTTTCCATGTTTTGATTTTTCGATTTTTCGATTTCTCTATTTTACTATTTCTCGTCCTTGTCTTGTTTAATTTTTTTTTTTTTGGAATATTTTATTTTTCCATTTCTCAATATTTCGATATTTCAATCTTTCGAATTTTCAATTTTTCCTTTTTTTGATTTGTCGATTTTTCAATCTTTCGATCTGTCGATTATTCAATTTTTTCATTTCTCGATTTTCAATTTCTGCCATTTTCAATAATTTGCTACATATTGGTATTTCATATTTTCCACTTTTCGTTTTTCGAATTTTGAATTTTTAAATTTTTTGATATCTGGATAGTCCGACTTTTCGGTTTCTGCATTTCTCGATTTTTAGTTTTTTTCAGTTTTTGGGTAACCCAATTTTTTGGTTTTTTAGTTTTCAATTTCTCGAATACTCGACTTATCGATCTTTCGACTTTTGATTTTTCTATTTTACGATTGCTCGAAATCTCGATTTTGTCAGTTTTTCATTTTGGGGATTCCACGATTTTTTTTTCATTTTTCGCATTTTCTGTTTATCTCTTTTTATATTTTTCCAATTTTTCAAAATTTTGATTTTTCGATTTTTCCATTTTTTGATTTTACAATTTTTCGATTACTCGATTATTCAGTTTCTCCATTTCTGGATTTCCCGCTTTTTCAACTTTTCAATTTCTGCTATTTTTCAATAATTTTTCGCTCTTTTGGTTTTTCTAATTTTCTACTTATCGATTTTTCGATTTTTTTTCGTTTCAGAATTTTTACCTTTTCAATTTCTCGATTTTTAAATTTCTCGATTTCTGTATTTCTCAATGTTTCGAAAAATCGAGCAATTAAATTTTTCGATTTTTCGTTTTTTCCATTTTTAGGTTTCTTAATTTTTCGATTATTCCAGTAATCGATTTTTTGATTTCCCGACTTTTCGACGTTGTGACTTTTTAATTTTTCGGTTTTCGATTGCTCAAAATCTGGATTTTTCAGTTTTTCGATTTCGTGATTTCTCCATTTTTTAGGTTTTCGATTTTTCGCTGTTTCTATTTCTCGATTTTTTTCGACTTCTCGATGTTAAAGTTTTTAGATTTCATGATTCCTGGATTTTTCAGTTTATAGACTTCAGTTTTGGATTTTTAGACTTTTCGATTTCCCGATTTTTCAGCGTTTTGACTTTTCGATTTTTTAATTTCTATAATACTTAGTTTTTCGATTTGCCAATTGTTAGATTTTTCGAATTTTTGATTTTTCATATTCCCACTTCTCAATTTTTCGGTATTTTCGATTTTTTGAATTCTTATTTCTCTTTTTTTCGGAATTTTAATTTTTCGATTTTTCGATTTTCAATATCTCGATTTTTCAATTTCTTTATTTTCGATTTTTCGGCCTCTCGATTTTCGATTCTCTGTTTTGTAAATTTTCAGTGTTTTGATTTTTCGAGTTCTCGATTTTTCATGTCTTGATTTTTTGATTTCTCTGTAGGTTGTTTTTTCATTTTTTCTCGTTTTCTAATTTTTGGACTTTTCGGTTTTTCCAGTTTACGATTTTTGAGTTTTCGATTGTTTCGATTTTTAGATATTTCCAATTTTCACTTTTTTCAATTTTTCGATATTTGTAACTTTTTCCGATTTTTACATTTTTTATATTTTTCGATATCTCGGTTATTCAGTTTCTCCATTTCTGGATTTCCCGCTTTTTCAATTTTTCGATTTCTGCCTTTTTTCAATAATTTTTTGATTTTTCGAATTTTAGATTTTTAAATTTTTCGATTTTTAAATTTCTCGGTTTAGCAATTAGTCGACTTTTCCATTTCTCAACTTTTCGATCTCTCGATGTTTCGATGTTTCGACTTTTAGGATTGTCCGAAATCTCGATTTTTTAGATTTTCGATTTAGGGATTTCTTCATTTTTCGGTTTTTCGCTGTTTCGATTTTTGGAATTCTCAATTATCAGTTTTTCGGTATTTTAATTTTTAGATTTTTCCATTGCT